TGTCAACTGGCTTTCTTTTGGTGTGTTCTCCTCATACCCACGAAAGTGACGGAGTAATTCTGGAATGAGAAATAAAATAAAATTATCAGTAAAGGGGCAATAAAATGATCAGTAAATTAGCCTATTGTACCTGTCTATAATTTGACAAGTAAGAGATTAATATCAAAATGCAATTACAATAAAATTTGTTTGAACACATAAAAATAAGATGTTACATAGAACCCCTTAAATCAATATCAAAGTGAACAGCAACAGTGAAGTGAACATGTCAATAAATATCAATAAAGACAAATGGTATAATAAAAAACAAAAGTGCCACATTCCAAATAGGAAGTTCAGTTGAACACTATGGGTGATGTCCACTTTTTTATACAGTCCACGGTGCCTATTTAAAGGGCCCGTTCTTGTTGTTGTTGTTTCCTCATTGTTAGGTCTGCCTAAACATTATAAACAAGAAGAAAGACAAGAGATTAATTCAGTTTTACTCGCGAGGAGAACGGGCAGAGAGTGGGCATCAAAACCAACAGTCTCCACACGTTCTGATGCCTCAAGGCCGCTCTCCTCTTTTTATTTCATTAGGAGCACTGTTGGGCAAGTTACTTTAAAACTGTAATGCGTTATTTATTACTTATTACTGTCATTTCAAAGTAATTCGTTACATTACAATATTACTGCATTTAAAATGTAAGGCATTACATTACTATTGCATTACTTTAAGTTACTCTCACCAAAATAACTGTGAAAAAGCTGAACTTTTGAGCCGTATATGGACTGAACCAGGACTAAACAAGGTCTAAACCAGGACTAAACCAGAGCTGAATCAGGACTAAACCAGGACTATAACAGGACTAACCTCAGACTGATTCCAGGACTGAAGAGGAGGACTAAACCAGAACTGAACTAGGACTAAAACAGGACTCACTGTAGGGACGGGCTCGAAGGTGACCGCAGGAGAAAGGACCGGCTTTGCTCCGCACCTCACGGAGGTAAGAGCGGCTGTCGCCCGATCGCTCTTTATGGACCCTGCTGCGCGGGCTCACGGTCCTGATTTCAGCAACTATTTGCGGGTACAAGACCCGGTGCAAAACTCTGCTACAGCACGTAACTTCTACCTTCCTTCAACGTGTCCAGAAGTCCAACTTTTTGTGCGATGGTTTGCATCTTCCTCTGTCTTTTGGGTGTGAGCGCAGGAGACTTTGTCGGTGCAGAACGTTTCGTCGACGTTGTGGATTTTGTCGGAGAGAAAACTTGCAGACATACAGCACTTCAGAAGCACACTGCTACAGATTGAACATTTATTTAAATTTGGCAGCTGAACATATTCTGTACTGTACTGTACAGGAGACAGGAGTCCCTTAGCCGATCAGGACACAGCGGGAGGAACGCAATACGTGTTCATACACTAAAAACAAAAGGCATGCAAAATTGCACACAAAAAAAATTCTAAAAATCAGCGAAACAGCGAGACCGCGAAAAGTGAATCGCGTTAGAGCGAGGGACGACTGTAAGCCAGGTCTAAACCAGAAGTGACCCAGGTCTAAACCAGGTCTAAACAGCGTAGAGTTCTGGGTCGGTCCTTTCACCCGCGGTTAACTGAAGGTCTGTCCGGCCGCGTCTGCGGCCTTTCACCGCTGCTGATTTCACGGTGATTTTAGCGAATTTCTATGAAGAAAAACCCACCACTTCAATCCAGGTTAAAAAAGCATTGTAATGCGCGTTACTCACATTTGTACCGAGTAAATATTACAATTTTCCCCCCTGTAATGCCTTACATTACTGCCTTACAGCAAAAATCAACGCATTACTGTAATACATTACTTTTATAATACATTACTCCCAACACTGATTAGGAGGCCCTAGTTACAGAATGATAATTCTCAAGGGGAAGGGGAAACAGTAAAGACATAATAAGAAACTGATGAAGCTATGCATAGTATAAACACATAAAACACGATTAACAATCAGGAGGTGCCTTAGGTCAGACACCATCATAACTCTTGCATGTGTGACAGTGGGAGTTGGCTTCATGTGAGGAATCATCTCGAGGTTCACTAGAGTGATAGGTCACTGCACACAGTTGTCAAACACAAAGAGGTTATTCATTTTCATACAAGTGATTGGTACATTATAAATCAAAGAATTGTAGTACATAAATGGTTAACTCATAGGCATAGAATATCACACAAGTATTTAGCAAATATGGGATAATAAGATCATCAAAAACCTGCCTGGAGTTTTGTTTAGTTTCATTCATAGTGAGTTGAGTTCTCATCTCAAGCAGAAAGCACTGTACTTGAGACACACACCTTGTGGTGCGATGTGGTAATACAGGAAGCGCTCCACTTTGTTTTTAAACTCCACACACCTTCACTAGAATCATTTGGATGATTTCAGCTCTAGAATTGCCAGTCTCTGAACTACTGAACTAAAGGTAACATGAAAACTACTGCGTCATGACATACATGCAAATGCACATTTCTGGACATTCTGCCACCTTTTGGTCTTCATGGAGATGTTATTTCTTTGGCAGGAATGTTCCAGATTATAGCATTAAACTTACCGGTTTACATGGAGACCAAGTTTCATGCCAGAGGCCAAGCTACAGGTTAGATCTGTGGAGCGGTCACCCTCTTCACAGTAACATTGTTTGTAATGGTATTTCTGAACAATAAAAACCCTTAATGAAATAAATGTAAGATGGATAAAGTTCATTCCAGGCAAAGCAATAACATCTCCATGGAGACAAGCAGATGATGAACCTCTGGAAAAGTTACTTAATGCACCTCTAACTAAAAAAAATAGGTAAACAGAAATCAAGTTAAATGTCTTAAAAACCAAATGGTGTACCTAACCATTTTGTCTCACCTCAGTGCACAATTCTAACAAATATTAACCAGCTGTTTGCTGGCTATGAGTGGAATGTGTCTGAATGTCTTTGAGGGACTGCCCTTACCTGCGGGGCGTGTCTCACTTTTCTCCTACCAGCACCTGTATAAGAACATACAGAGCCATATATTACATTCAAACATAATTTACCTGAAAAACATCTGCTTTCCAATATGGAGCTTATATAGGCTTACCACAACTTCTAGTAAACACTGGCCTTTCTAAGCAGCTTATCCCATAATGATAACTACACTATAAATACTCCAATGGCCAGTACTGGGTAGACTTTAAATATCCAACAGATTTTGAAGGGATTACATGTCTAGGAATGAGTGGTATGTCTCACAATGACAGACAGCTCCAACCCACTCCCAAAGAAAACCCTCTGGTCATGAAAAAAATAAAGGGAAAAAAATCATTATAGGAACAGGAGTCATACACAAGTCCGGAAAAGAGCATTATAAAAGTCCAACAGGAAATTTGTCCCCACAGAAATGAAATATTGAGGGTGGAGTCGTGCCAGGATGGTTTCAAAGTTATTATTTTGACTGGCTGTGACTAGAATTGGAATATGAAACTGAATGTTTATTTGCATATTTTAAAAGATAGCAACCGAGTCAATTTTTCAAAATTCACAGCTCACGGTGGTCTAGTAATTTTGTTATTTATTTGCAATCATTATGCTTGGCTCTTACTTGGTCACTACCACAGTTTATTATTTGGAGTCATGTGTTTGTGCCACGTTATTTCTATCTCAGCTAGTCACAAGGTATTTTGCCCAAAGACACAACTACAATATTAGGCATCATGCATCACCGCATATTACATAAAATTTTATCTCTTATTTGAATCTGTGCAATTATCAATGTTGATTTATGATTTAGAGAATGTTATTATCTATTTGGAACCCAGGAAGAACAGCCTTTAATAGAGATCCAATAAATAAATAACAATTATTATACAGTATAATCTACAAACATGCTCTGAAATGCATGGGGAATCACAATTTGATTGATTGATTTATTTCATTATATGCAGAGGTTTGTGGTAATCTGACTACTGCCCCCAGAGAGAAAGGAAAAGTTCAAGATTAGATTATATCATAGCTGAATGTGTACTGGCAGCAAGGATTGGATTCACAGACTGTAGCTATTAAGAAGTGGACTAAGGGAGTGTGACGTCACCCATAGCCAGTCAAATGAAGCTCACTGAGGGTGGCAGTTATGGGGTGAATTTAGAGTTCCATATTAGGAATAGGAATTTATTTGCTGAGAAAATAGCAAACTAAAAACACCAGGACAGTACAGAGGGATTAATACGAACATTTTAAAACTAAATTGACGGAGCTCTCAGCAGCAGCTACAGAGAGAGGGGCAACGTTTTTTTTCAATAAAGTGAACTGGAGCTGGAGTTGATGGAGCCGAAAATGCCACCATGCTCACTTCCTACTTGGAAAGCGGCAGCTACTGGGTTAGCTATGCCCATTTATATATACAGTCTATGGTTGGATTACAGTTTTGGAGCTAACATGCAGAATTATGCCACAGTTATAATTTTTCTGTCAAACTATTCTCTTTACTCATTTACATATGTTGCTGGAAAATACTACGTAATTTAATAGGCTATTTGGAACCTACTTTTGATATTCTTTCATAGATTTGGGAAGTGACTCACTAAACATAGCCTTAAGTCTGCCATGAAGTACTTTCCATAACAACTTTTATTTCATCACTAATTTGTTCAAAGGGTTTAATCTATTGCTGCAATTTGACATTAATCCTCGCTTTTCGCTGCTGGCTTATCTTCACTTTTTGGTGCATATTCCTCCCTGCTAATAAATATTTCAGTTATTTTGACTACGGGCGAGTATATTGGGGCTCTTACTACAGTGTGATTCAGGGAGGCTCATGATAAAATCACTTTTAACTTCCTTGGAGGAAATCCTGCGGGGGCCACGGGCGCGCGCACTGAAGCAAGTCTTTGAATGAGAGAGAGAAAGAGAAAGAGAGAGAGAAAGAGAGAGAGAGAGAGAGAGAGAGAGAGAGAGAGAGGAGGGGCTGTACCGTGAAGGGAGGGGGGGTCACCTTTGTGCAAATATATCAAACCAAGAGGAGGACTTGCCACTAGCGTCAGATTTCTAGTGTGTGTGTGCGTGAGTGCAGAGACGGAGCTAGAGGGGGAGAGGTTCGCGCAGGTTTAGGAGCTTTGAAAAGAAGAAAGACATAAACCTGCTACTACCGCTGCTGCTGCTGCTGCTGCTACTACCACCCGACCGCATTTCACTTTCTCCCAGCACTCTCACTTGTTCTGCGGGTAAAAAAAAGTTGGGAACGAAGCCATGGACGCCGGGATAACATTCGGACGCGCGGTTCTCTCGTGCACCTTGCTGCTTTTGGCACTGCAAGGTAAGTCACCGCTTTTCATTCTTGCAAAGACGCCACACATCGCCTTGGTTACTCTTCACTGTGGTTAAACGCTTTTGGACCGGGTTTGGGGTAGTTTTATATGGCTCCGGGCTACAGTTTTTGCACTTTAAGAGGTCCCGCTACTTACACGGACCTGTTCAAACTCGTCGCACAACCTCCAGCGACCGACTTCACGCACGCACTTTACCTTACGTTCCTCGCTGCCTTTTTTGCCTGCACGGTCCTGCTGCTCTGAGCAACCTGTTAGTTTCCCATTCAAAGCAATACTTACTCGGGAAAAGTTATCAATTTTAGTTTAAATCTTCACGTGTCAAGTGACAGTAAGTTAGATCTGCGTGTTTCATTTTTCAGTGAACGTGTTTGTATGGCACGGAAGTTCCCAATTTTATTTTTGCCCGCGAATGACTCAAAACTCCGCTTAATATGAATCCAAATACTGTTCATATGCACATGTTTCAATAATTGGGCTACTTCTTCATGTACCAAGTTGCTCATTAGACAGAACTGCACTATAGGCATCTTTGAAGTCTACCCCTAACCAACCAAGCCAGAAGTGTTTGTCAGATTTTTTTTTTTTTTTTCCATTTTGCTATAATTTTATGTTTTACTTTTTAAGATGACCTGTTCACATATCCACTATACTCTAACAGCTTAATTAACATTCAGTAATTTTGCTCACAACCCCTCCTTTTTTCAATCCCAAAAGTCCCATCTTACTTACACAAATATAAGTCACAGATCCATGCCTCGCCTACAGCGAATTCTATTATTTGTGTGGAATATTTGATTTAGTGTATCACAGCTCCCTGTTAAGTGTGCCTGTGTGTGACTGAGGCAGCAGGAGCCTCGGGGTGGGGTTGGGTCCCGGGCTACACCCTCATATCCCCCTCTGCTTTTTCAGTCCCCATCCACTGGCTACAGCACTACTCTTCTTTGTACCAGTGACTCTGGGGCAGTTGTTGTGATGTCTGCCCTTATGAAGCTGTCCAACAGGTGCCAAAATACTGATGTGTAATTGATATAGATGAGTCGGAACTTGGACGCCACACATTGCTTTGTACAGACAGCTGTGGGGTGCTGCATTCTCAACTAGAGTGTTAGAAAGTATTGGAAGTGGTATGGGCATTCTCGAAGCACTGCACTCTGTTTTAACTACACTTAATTAGGCTTAAAGGTGCACTGTGTTACTTGTCCGGTGGAGGGTCCGTCACCTACTTGTCTCCAGGAGATGTGCCTAGAATTTTCCACAGTATAGCCATAAACTTAAGAGTCTCCATGGAGACTTACAAATAAACAAATTACAAGTTAGATTTGCTAGTTAGACAGATTAGGTTAATACCATACTGTGGACACTTGAAACCAAAGCATTACCATCTCCATGGAGACGAGCAGACGACAGACCCTCCACCAGAAATGTTACGCAATGCACCTTTAAAGCATGAACAAAGACTTAATACATAACAGAAAATAGTTTATTAAGAATGATTGAGGCTTGTTAATTATTAGGTTCAGGAGTTAGTGTGTAGGTGTTAATTAAGTAGTCTAGTTACTAAGCCTGGAACATTCTTAATAAAAATATTTGTGGATTACAGATTAAGTCTTTCTTCCTGCTTTATTAAGACCAATTAGTTACTTGGCATGTAACGATATCCAAGTTTCACAATACGATATCGTCATGGTATGAGCCTCACGGTGCAATATTTATTGTGATGTCATGGAAAACTCATGATATGGTGGGAGGGCTCACATTTTGGGATGTAACAATATCCAAATCTCTTGGTATGATATTTTCACGATATACATATCACAGTACGATATTTATTGCAATATTTTGTGGAGGCTAACAAAACTGTGAATATGCTACTTTTTCCTCTTAAAATTAGATTTAATCCAAAGAACTAAGACTTAAAAGTACTTAGAACTGTTATTTCTACATTGAAACGGAGCAAAGGATCATGGTCTATGTAGTTCCCTTTGTCTTTTTTTAGCTGTTGCTGCACCATAACTCTTAATTTAAGCTAAGAGACTTGTAATTCTTTATATTGTGATGGTCCACGATATTATTGTGAGAAGTTTGACGATACGATATCCCGATATTTTGTTTATTGTTACATCACCATTAATTACCATTAATAAAAGTTACAGAAAATTCTCAGGCATGTGTTGAGCAGTGAGTTAAGAGCCAATTCATTTGTATGGTGGCCAAAATAAATAATGAGTTTCAGCTTTGCATTTTGTTCCGCCATAGAAATAAATTGCACTTGTGGGAGTTGCAAGTGGGGACAAGTCAAGGAGCTTCCTCAGACTTAAGGTTGCAAGAAAGGACCAGTGCCTTTGCAGAGTTTTATGCCACTAGTTCTTGAAAACCTGTTATCTTTTAATTTAAATTTTTAATACACATTTCACTCATGCTTTCTTAAAAAAACTCAACCCTTCATATGGTAAAACTATAGCTACCCTTATCAGCTGGGAATTACTTGCACTTAGAATACTTCCATCCAAAATCTTAGGGAAGGAATTTTCTTTTCTCCTGGGACAATAAACATAAAAGTCACTCTATTCCCCAGTGTTTAAGAGTTGGAATCTTCTTGCTCTTAAGCATTCTTGAGCCTAAGAATAGCCATCTCAGCGGGATTTCTTTGACGCAGGTCCACATACTCATATAACTGGCTGCATGCTTGTAACTTGCATCTCTGTCAACATGGCCCTAAAGACTACATGTGTTAATGCGCTTCATCCTTCTCAATTCACTGTATATTAGTCAAGTGTTTTGACATGTAGCACCATAGCAACCAATCCCAACGGCCGGAGGGGACTTGGCCTGCCAGTGCCCGCTGACCTGTTGACCCACTCACCCAGACATGTGGGTTAATGTTTCTAGTAGTACACTCCTGGGATGCCATTGCTGCTTTGTCTAATCAAGAGAGGAAGCAAATTATGAGCTTGGTTTTATGGCTGTTTGCAAAAGAAGGACTAGGTGGAGACAGGTAGTAAATCTAAAATTGTCAATTAAAAGTCCTAAATGACACAAACTTGATTCTTGTGAGCTTTAAGTTATGTTTTCATGTTGTTTCTTTTTCAGAAACATAAATGGAGTTGTGTTTTTTTCATTCATAGATGCTTGTTTGAGTAATTCTTTAGTTTGTCTTATCAAAATTCTTTAAAGTTAACAGCTACCTTTTACATTTTGTTCAGTAATGATTGAATATTGCAGGGCTGAATTCATCCAAATGATTCTAGTGAAGGTGTATGGAGTTTAAAAAACAATGGAGCACTTCCTGTATTACCATAACATCACAAGGTGGGACAGTGTTTTCTGTTTGAGAGTGAAATTTGCCTAAATATGCAGGATTTATTCTTGAGCTTATGTAAATGAAACAAAACACAACTCCAGGTATGTTTTTGACAAGGAAACATCATTATAACAGATAGATCAGAAAATATCGTAATACAGGCCCTTTTAAAGTACTGGAGACGTTTATCTTGACTCTACGACCAACTAGCCATTGCCCAAGGCGTGTCCCACCCCAGGCCCATAGTTCAGATTAGCATCAGCCCCTAAAGCACAAGTGTTAGAAAGTGAATGTAAGTTTATTGTACTCAAAGAATGCTCGCTATTTACATCACTGACAGGACATCATCAAAACATCGTAAAGCAATCTTGTTGTATTTATGTCGGACTGAGGGTGAATTAATGCTGCTGTTGCTCTTGACTCCATCTAGTGGTTAAATGTGATACAGCAGTTTGACATAGTGTTTGCTTTGAAAGTTGGCACATCTTAATTAAACCAGATGCATAAAAAACATGACACCATTTATCCAGGCTTGGGTCTTACAAACTGGGTCATGTATTTGAATTAGAACAGTACAACTACAATCTAAATGCTAAATCATAATTAAAGATGGACTATGTAACTTTTGAGATAGGGAGTCTGCTGCCTGCTTGTCTGACTGTATGGAGATGTATTGCTTTCTTTGTTATGTTATCAGTATGGCATTAAACATGTCTAGTTTCAGCTTATTCAATTACAGGTTTTTTGGGGGGGGTAAAAAAAAAAAACATCTGGAAAACATACATTCTTACTGTACCTCACCACAGATCTGACCTGGAACTTGATCTGGTAATGTCTCCGCGGAGAGTGATGAGAGATAACTTTCTGTGGAACATTTAAGGCAAATCAATAACATCTTCATAGAGATAAGCAGGTAACAGATTCACCAGAAACTCTGCGTAATGCATCTTTGAGGTTACTCTGACCGTCGCTGACAGCTTTGCAAAATCAACCATGAAATTTAACCGTAACATGAAGACTTGCCAACAATCAAAGTATTCTAAATGAACTAAACAGAATCACAGTGACAAGCATTAGCTGAGTTCAAGGTGCCGTCTCCTAACACACACTGTCAGCTTCATTGTCTACCTTCACCTTAATTCCCATGGCCATTTCCTTATTTTTAATTTCTGTTCCTGTTGCTCTAGCATCAAAAGTTGCCCCCTGTGGTTCTGTGCAATTATTCTGGTATTAGGCGGCGAAAAACCCTAGTAAGCCACAAGAAGATAAAAGTCCATGGAGATTTGAAAGCAATGTTAGGGTAGCGTTGCCTTACTTGTCCCCACTTGAGTTAATAGATGTAAGTTAATATATAGACTGGCGTGTTAGTACAAGTCGAAGTTACTACTATACTTAAATGTTACAACACAGCGGAAACCTACGGAACAGTGCAGTATCGGTGATGGCGCTGGCTCCTTGTCATTTACGCCTTCAGGTTACTAGTTTTTGTCCCCCTTTGGCTATAATTACTGATGGTGGCAATTCATTCTGTTTGTTTGCCAACACACTAACTAGGAATGAGTGGTATTTTCAGGGACACGTTTTAGCCTGCTCCGAAATGTCTGTTTGTCATCACTTGAAATTCCGTGGAAAAAAAGGACCTTTCTTTTCCAGCTTTTTTTACAATCCGCCCATCACCACAAGTCA